CCAGCATGTTCAGAGGAAAGCAAAGAGCTCCTTGTTAGGGCGTGCGTGTGCATTTCAGTTTCCCACTGCGCAGGGGCTCATTGCCGCCTTGAGCAACCTAGCGGTGCTATGAGAATCATGCGCGCAAATATGGTTCCATGAAGGGAGTTGCGTTTTGGCCTTGGCTCCTGCTTGCCTTTATGATCGCGATTGGGCAAAGACGTGGTTGTTCGCGTCTAGCTTTCAAAGCCTTGACTGCTTAGCTGGCACTTGCCCTCATGGGCGGAATGCTCACCCTGTGCAACAAGGCAAGGACGGCTTTCCAGCAGGAAAACCGCCGCGTACCCACCAGCGTTGGCAAAAGCGTTTGCATCTTGCGTCAGAAACCTGCTGGATGCTGGGGGCTCTGATCAAGACTCTGATCTAGACATCGCATCTTGTCAGGAAAAATTCCTCACACAGACATGGCTGCTCCTCCTTGGGGCAAGCACGATTGTGCGGGCAAAAACTCTCAGGGCGACTGGAGTATCCCTGTAACAACCTTTAGGGCAATATCTGTCCATTGATCTTGTGTTCATAGGCCAACCCCCAGGGACAAACATTCCTCTTGGAAGTCGCCTGGTAGCTGTACGGGGTCAAAACCTCAAACCACGTGATGATCTGGTTAAAGACTGTGGCTTCGCATTTCGAACCATGCCAGCTCTAAACGCAAACTCTCGCAGGAATCGTGTCGCGTGCTCGAGATTTTCGAGCATTGGTTGTTGCGCTTAAACCAGTTGGTCTCTATGCGTCCTCCCCAGCAGACAACACTTGAAGCGTTTGCAGATGCAAGGGCCTCAGGCGCAACGTGCAGTATTGGACTATGTGCGGCGCCCATCTTTGGGCCAGGTCTGGTTTTCAGAAACATTCCGTCACACTGAGTTTTTACGTTTGGGAATCCCTGTTCAGCGTCAGATGCAAAGGGACATAGCGTCAGCGTCATATGAAGCCCTAGCCCAAGCAGGGTTGATACTTGCCGTTTTCCAATTGTGTCCATGCGCTCGCGTTCCCATCCGCTTATGCTCAGGCTGTGATAATACAGGGGCCGAGGCGGGCATCAATAACGCCTTCACAACTACACGCCCGCTAGCCTTCTTCTTGGAGTGCATAGCACTTCTTCTAGCTATGCGCAAGACTTTTCTTAATGTTAGCCACGTTCCAGGCGAACTGAGTCAGAAAAGTGATGCACTCAGCCGTCCTGCAGAGCGATCTCACCCTGCAGATTGCTTGCCCAATGAGCAGCTGCGCATCTCCTTGAGTGATTTGTGGAAGCTGACACCCCTGCGTTCGCATTGCACCTAGCACAAGCCGTGTTTCCTGGCCAATTCGAGCCAATGGAGTGCCATGATCAAACCTCGCATGTCATTTGGGCCTCTGGGGCGTAGGTTTGATGGTAGGCTTCGTTGGGGCATTCATTGCCACTATCAAGCTTGTACTTGCTTTGCATTGCATCCTGCGTCTCAAGCCATTGCGTGCTTTATCTGGCACTCCAGTTAAAAGTGTGTGACCGCTGATTGTATGGAATAAGTATCTATGTACTGTCTTTGCGTTATATTTGGCTGGAAAATTGCATACTCAATATATTTTTTCCGTCGCTGCGCAATTTAAATTGGATAGACCCTTTAAAGTACCCAGCCTCTCTTCTTTCCTCTCTGCCCTCACGCAGCCCGAACCTCAGCTTAGGTTCCCTGAACGCAACCCTCACGTGGAGGGGGATCTAGGGGAAACGCCGCAGCCTCCCGGGGTTGCTCTGAGTCACCAAAGTGGGGGCGAGGGGTTGGCCAGAGAAGCTTGAAACCTTCCTGCTTCCAAGCCCTCTGAAATCTACATTCAGAGCAACCCAAGGAAAAAGGAGATGCTTTTGCGCTTGTTGTGGTAGGTTTTGGACAGGAGCAGTGCAACCACGCAGAACTTCAGCGCTGCGTGTTACAACCCAACGCGTGCCAATTGAAGATGCTGGATCCACATGTCCTCCAACCTGGCTTGCAGTTGCTGCGTCGAAAGTTTGCTCCGAGTTACTTTCTGGCTATTTGCCCCAGCGTGTCCCACAAATACTCTGGAGGAACAAGGTCGAACAAAAGCCAGGGAACCCGCGCACAGTGCTTGCATGGATTACCGCACACAAGAGCAAACAAGATGGTAGTTGACAACCCACGCTCTTTGCCGCCACTTCTCTGCCCAGGCTATCGGGTGCATGACCGACTTTGCAATGCCAATTCAGATACTTTCAAGCGGACGTTCTTGATCAGCTTGGTTGGTTTTCCGACAAGTGAATAGATTTCATAAAGCGTCTGCAAAACATTCAGCTTACCACAACTGTCATTTTCGGTTGGTTGCAATGCTTACGCTCTCGGCAGGACGTTTCTAGACTTCCTGTGGCAGTATCGGTGGTACATGTCGGTCGTAAAACCAACCGGTTTTTTTTTCTCAATTGAAAGCGTTCTTATGGGAAACTACGCGATTGTCATCTGTCCGTTTTCGGGAAGGGCCATGACTGAGCCCAAGAAGCCAAGCCCAAGCTAATGTGGGCAAAGTTTCCGTCTCATTTCCCATTTAGATCATGGGAAAAATGTGTCTGCCTGCTGCCGGCAAGTGCATTGAATTTTGTAGGCATTTTTTTTTTGGCTTTGACGGGTGGAACGTGATCCGAAACGCAAGCGCAAACGATGACTATGACTACCAATTTCGACATTATTGTTGTATTTTAATTTATGCATCGCAACAAGTTGAACCAAAAGGAAAATTTACCAAACCATGCCTGGTTAATTGACACTTCCCGGGCCGACATTCACAAACATTCAAGGGCCTCTACAAATTTCAGACACGCGTGCAACGCAACTGTTGGCCCGCAGCTTCAAGTTGGAAGCAAGAGCCTGCAAAACAATGCTGCGCGCAATTGAAACGACCGTACACCAGTTGCAACATGAAAACGCTCAAATCCAGCAGTGTAGTTTGTGAAGCCACAAAGATCCCATCTCTTGTGCTAGTTTGCTTGATTTCTTACGAAATTCTTACGGGGATTCAAGATTGTGGTCAATTTGAGAATGATCTCGTGAGAATGCCACAAAGTGTTTAATCTACCGTTAAGAAGTGCAACCATGAAATTTTGAGAAAAGTATGGCAAACTGAACCCACGTTGTGTGCAAACGAAGCGTTCATTTCCATGTTGGAGAAGTATTTGTCATTTCAATGGTTACAATTTTTTGAAGTCACGTTACTTGTGCGAGGTCTGGCGCGTTGGTGTTGATGTGAAGCTTCGCATGCAAATTTGCAGGCTTGAATGCATGGGTTGTGTTGTCGTCCCGACCTACAAATTTAAATGTATACTGGAGTGACAGGCGCTAGCCATCTCTAGCCATCTCGGTGATTTTCATGTTTCAAAAGCAGATGCGCATTGGAAAAACACCCTCTATGCCCAATCGTCATGTAACAAGTTAAATTGTTTGTCATGCCAACGTAGCCCCTCTTGGCAATGTCAACTGTGAGGCACTATGTCAAAATGCACTGTTGTTTGGAGATTGTTCGTGCTGGCAATCATATTATGGCAGGCTTGACCATGGAGAGCTGGACGGGCAGCGGCGTTGGTCTGTCCCAGCCTCAGCATTTGTGCCACTCAAGTTTGCAGCGTTGAGCCGCTGATCCCCGAGGCTGGCGGAGTGTTTCGGAATACATGGCAGAAAATGAACGCTTTCTCCTTACCTGGTTTTGGTTGTGTCAGTGGAAATCTGACCGGGCCAACATCTCCAAAAAAAAGTCTCGGACTTTCGAGGATGCCATGGTTTTGGCATGTCGGGAAATTGAGAAATGGACAATGTTTTGGATGCACGTCCCCTTGGTGCAGAATGACTTCTTGTTTTGTTGGCACGCATTCGCGGTGCACGGGTTCGATTCTCGAGACTATGCTGAGGATTGGGGTGATGATTTCGAGCGTCGCCATTTCGATGGCAACTTTGTGGGCAGTGTGGCCTGGCCCTGAGCAACACGGGACAGTTTGTTCCATGCTGCAGACTCTCCATTCAGGATTTTCAATCCAAAAAATGTAGTTATGTAGGCCATTGTTCAGGTTGGTGCCCCGATGCGGGCGGGACAGGCCATAAATGACTGGGGTTGGCTGCTGAGTGCTTCATGAAGCAACTTGATGTTGCTTGGGTGATGCATCTACTGAAATCGATCGGTGAATCGCGCTGTGTGGCTCATGCGACAGTTGCGTTCACAGGATGTGACGTGCAGAATTTGATTGAATTTGTCCAGTAGGCTGCAAGTCACATGGCAACGAAGTGCGACATTTGTCGTAGTGTCCACTTCAAGACTGCAAGTGTAAACCATAGCCGGTCATGACTTGCAACAGGGTTCTGGTCCAGTTTTATGTAGCCGGCAATGGCCAAAAATGCCTTCGGCCTCGGTCACGAATGCTCGCTTGACAGTGCGGCCGCAGCAACTTTGTTTAAAAAGCCCTTGCCAAAATATTGCCAGACTATCCGAAAAACGCGATTTTGACGAGAATGGAGTGTAAGAGGCCACACGCGCATGCAGAAAGCAAAGCCCAGGAGAGTTATTGGCTCGAGAAGAAAGCCAAAGCAGCGAAAGCAAAGGAGAAGAAGACCTTGAAGCCCAAGGCCCTGCAGCCACCAAAGTTGCTCAGAGTTGCTTTTAGCCTGTAAGCCTACTGCGGGCGCCACATGAATTTGATGTTCACCGCCGCAGGCATTTGATGTTTGAATGCGTTGATCGCATGTTGTCGTTCCACGCAGAATACGGACACCTCTGGACTCCTTAGACTCGGACTGTCCCGTCCGCCCCTTGTTAGAGACCGTGACCATAGATGTTGATGTATGGCTGAAGGTGTTTCTGTAGCTTCTGAACAGGGATAAAGGTTGAGGCGGAGTTTTTCGGCTACAGCAATGCAGCAAGCGGAGAAGCGTCACTTAAGTAATCTGTCGACGGACCTCTAGTAGTTGTACGAGATCAAGCGCATGAGGCAGGTTTGTAAGCTGTTGAGCATCATGGCTGCACTGGCACTCTGGGATGACCTGCGGCATGGCTTGAAGTGCTACACTGGCCCGCGAAATCGAGTAGCATGCTCCTTGGCTCGTGCTGCGGCTCCAACCCCGCAAACGCAGTTTCCAGTGACCATGACGCATGGTCTAGTGGACATTGGAGCAAATTTGTTAGATCCTATGTTCAAAGGAGTTTACCGAGAGAAAAGCCGACACCCAGCTGACCTTTCCGCTGTTCTCTTCCGTGCCCGCCAGGCTGGCGTCACCAGGATCATGGTCACAGCAGGTAGTCTGCAGGAAAGTCGGGATGTACTTCAGCTCTGCCAGCAAAGTTTAAGTGAAGGGGATTGGCCGCAGCTTTGTTGCACGGTGGGAGTACATCCAACACGATGCTCCGAGTTCGATGAGTCGGGGAGTCCTGCCAAACACATGCATGAACTCCGTGACGCTGCACTGTCCGCAGGTTCGTTCTTGTGTGCCATCGGTGAGTGTGGACTGGACTATGATCGTTTGGAGTTCTGTCCTCGTGAGGTGCAGAAGGAATACTTCGAGAAACAGCTGAAAGAGCTGGCGATTCCGATGAGGAAACCACTATTCCTGCATTGTCGCACCAGTGAAGCTGCTGAGGATTTGCTTGCTCTTCTGAGAAAACATCAAAAGGATCTCCCTCAAAACCCGGGTGTGGTTCACAGCTTTGATGGCAGCTACGAAGATGCCGCCAAGTTCATATCCCTGGGTTTTTTCATCGGTTTAAACGGCTGCTCCCTGAAGACGGAAGAGAACTTGGCCATGGTGAGATCCCTGCCTGATGATTGCATCCTTCTGGAGACTGATGCCCCCTGGTGTGGCATAAAAGCATCCCATGCTGGTCATGATTTTGTACGAAGTACATGGGATGAAGTGAAAAAGCCTGAGCGTTGGGAAGAAGGCAAGTGTGTCAAAGACAGATGCGAGCCATGTCAGATGAGACAGGTTTTGGAGGTTGTTGCTGGCTGTCGCAGCATGTCGCCGGAAGCCTTGGCCAAAGTCGTTTTACAGAACTCTAACAAGTTCATGGGGACTACGGCTTCATAGTTAAGGCATTGGCACCAATAACTTCACCCGTCACCCTGGCAGTGCTTCTGTTACAAAAAATGCGGTGGAGCTCCGAAATGATTCATGCTGGATTGCACACTTTGATATAAGTCGATTACAGTGAATGCTGTAGGTCGCAAAATCGCATTCTGGACTTCCCCTTCCAGCAGAGCGTGGTAGCCCAAGACTGGAAAGCAACACAAGAGCATTTCAATTCCGCTGCACTGCAATCTGGTGTTTTGTGAACTGTGTGTGGAGGAAATGCGCTGACAACAAGTCGGACGCCTGAGAAGGAAATAGATGAGGCGCACATTGCTTGCCATCACTGGATAATCCATGTAGCAGGTTGACCACAACCATGGTGCTTTGGAAGGCAGAGCAGGAATTGCTTGGCTGGGGCAAAGTTCCTCCAGCACAGCCAGCAAGTTGTCCGAAACCTCCTATGCGGCAAACTCAGCGCAGCTGGCCTGCTGGCTTTTGTGTCTGTCTGAGAACCTGCATTTCTGCATCCCAAGATCACGAGGTCTTCCCGGACAGGTATTACCAGGCTTTACTTTCCTCGCAGACTTTTAAGGGCTGTTGCTTTCTGAAACCATCTGCTTGTGAAAGGCGGAAGCATGTGAACGAGGTTGATGAGTCAAAGTGGAAGCAACCTGAAAGGAGCTCTAGTGGAAACCAACACGGTGTTTTGTTGGAACCAGTTTTCCTGTGCCTTTCACCATGCCAATGCTGGGTTGCCTACGCCCCAAAACAAGTGGCTGTCGAGCCCTCAGCCTTCAACATCCACAAAGCTATGGCCGTCGCGCCATACCCTTCAGAAGTTAATTAAGGTAGTCTGCCCTGAAACTTGAAACGAATGATGTGTTCCCCCTAAACTGGCAATGGAGCAAGGGTATAGTCCTAAGATAGCGCACAAGTTGACTAAAGAGGAGTTAGAGAGCTGGCAGGGTATTGCAGGGTCTCTACAAGCCCAAGTGAGTCCTCAAGTCAACCCTTGGTCCATGATGATAGGTTGGATGAGGCTGCACTCCGAACTTTCTGTAAGTTGGAACTAAGCCAGAAGCAATACCTTTGCCTTGTATGGGAGGCTGTCATTCCGGGCTGCAAGCTGTGCAGAGTGCAGAGCAATATTTGTGATATTTGGATGGCATTGCTCTTGTTGGAGGAGCGACGATGTCGGTGTCTTCCTTGCAGCCCAAGAACAATTAATCCAGCAGCGATGGGCTGTTCACAGTGCCAAGCTGATTCACGCAGCTGGTGGACAAACAGCATCGACGATGGTCTCACGCGACAGTGCCGGCTGCGAAGAGGCCCTGGGGCCAGTTCTAATCGCAGGTTTCGAAGTGGAGCAGCAGCAACATGCTAGGACGTGAACTTAATGGACGAGAATGCTGCTCGCCAGCGATCGTCTCGGGCAGTGCGTCGTGCCTCAGAACCGTCTCGTTCTGCATGGGAGCGCACCTCTGCGACTCGATCCAAACTATGTACATGGCTTCTTTTCTGCTCTAGTGCCCTTTTAGTATATGTGCTTTACGTCGCTGAGGAATTGACCTTGACCTTGACTGCAGATTTTGTGGATGAGCTTGCAAGAGGATACTCCCAGCCTTGGTTTCAAGCTTTGGTTCGGCGTTGTGCCGATGAGTACTGCCACGATCATCAGCAGCTGCTCGAGCAGCTTCATGAAATCGCGTTTGAGGCGGGAGGATCCGAGAAGAATGGATGTCGGAAACTGTTCTGAGAGATCTTTGACAGGTTCAAAAGCCAGTCTTGGAGAACTGGGGTTTCGAAGGAAATGACCAAGGCGATCTTCTGGCGGATACGTGTACTCCCTCCCAATACTGATTCCTGGGGAAGTGCCCTGAGGTCTTTTTGACATGACGTCAATCCTCAAGGAGCACTCAACTCACGGTCCGTCTTGGTTGCAAGAGAAAATATCCTCATGCCTGAAGTTGTCCCTGGGAATGAACTGAATGAAAGCAGGTGGCAGGCTTCAGACGGCTAGGATTGTTCAGCAAAGCTGGGTGCTCAGGCTATTTCCACACCGCGAAGCACTTCTTGTCCAACCCGCGCTGGCTGCAAAAAAGACTGGTTCTGGCTCCGTCGTTGAGAGCATGAAGTACCCTGGGGAGTGGGTTGTTCAGTTCGATTGCGTCGCAGAAAACATGCATGAGTAAAACTTGTGTCAGTAGTCCTGATTCAGGTGATGATTTTGAACGCCGCCACTTTGAGGGTGACTTTCTGGGTGCAGTTGCTTGGTTCTTGGTCCCCTGAGCGCGGGCAAACGCAAGTTGCTTGTGGGCATGACCCAGGCGCGGGCACCAGTTGCTGCTGGTGAGGCCCAGAGTCTGAACCGCTTGAGATATTGGAGCGATTGCCTTCGCTGGTGGCCTCATGCTCGGAGGTGCTATCCGAGGCCATCGGTCAGTTGGCCAGACACCCAGCCAAAGATCTTCAGCATGCGTGATGGGCTGCAAATAAGGGAACAGGCGGTAGGCATCCTTTGTAGTGTTCGTAGTTGATTCCAGAGTCCAAAACATGCAGGTCCAAGGCCAAGGCAGAAACCAATTGCGACAGCAGGTAGACGGGAGCGGCAGGCGACCACCAGGAACAGTGCAGATCCCTGAAGATAAGCCAACCCTGCTCAGAGTGGGCTAGCCAGAGGATAGGCCCCAGGGGCTGGTTTGGATGGAACTGAGCCTTGTGTCTTGGTGGTACGTTTTGTGCATCCCAGCAACAGGAGCCCAAAGAGGGATGTTCCATTCAAAGCCCGTACTGAGGTGACTTGTGTCCCTCTGCAGTTTGTTGAATTGCTGTTTCATTGCGCGAGGTTAACAGTTTGGGTGGGGCATCCAAGGCAAAGCTATGGTCTGAGGCTTTTGGAACGGATATTCGGCCTAGGTTCAGATCCTCCAGACGCAGACATGCAACCACAATGAAATTGCAAGCATGATCTTGCTCTTTCCCAGCCCGGTCAACTACCATGCCAGCTTGGACTGACTTCATGTCTGGAAGGGTGCCCAGAGCCATGATTTTGGGGTCAGCTCTTCATTTTCTCAATGTTCATCCAAATTGATGGTTGTTGAGACTTCAGGTTTGGCCTCAAGTGTATATGATGTCTATAAAAAAACCTCCTCCTTTAACTTCTCTGCTGCAGCGCTGCTTACTGCGGCTGCCAAGTTTGCTGCACGCGTGACGCTGTGTAGGTCGATGGATCATTAGATCTCCCTGCTGATTCGGTGGAGCCCTGGACCGCTGCAGGCTGTGCACTCGTTTGCCAATTAGAGTGAAGCAGCTTATTGGGGATTAATTGGAAATCCTGTGTTGTTTGGATTTCTTCGTCTATTTCATCTTGCTGCCGGGCCCAGAAGCAATGCACAGGCGAAGCATCTGTGTATAAGAGGGCATTGTTCCAGGTCAGCATGCTCATTTGACGGATGGATGCGGATGGTACGGAGTAGGCGTCCTCCTAACTCGGTTGGGTAGGTGACACTTGAACGTGGCATGTTTTACTTTGTCCTGCATGTTTGAGTATCTCGTTGCCACGCTTGCGGAACATGACAATTGAATTCTGTAGCTGCCAAAATGTTTACATGGCTTTCGCGAGCACCCGCTCACCACACATGGAAGACTGCACGCATACAGCCATGTTGCACGAAGGCTATCTATTCGCATGCTCAAACGAGCAACCAAGTTGCACGTACGCAAGCAACGCAACCAATAGCATAGCAGTTTGTTCGGGAGGCTATATGCTGAAGCTTGGCACATGCATGTCTAAGAGCCGCGGTTGTGAATGCGTTTATGCCAGGCGTCTTGGGCTTCGACCCAGAAACCGCGCTGGGACCGTTCGACCCCGCAGTGGGTGTCGCACAGGCGTTATCGGGCGATGCACAGTATTCATGTGCTTGGATTCGCTGCTAATGTGAACTGTAGTCTGCAGACAAGAAGCATGTGAAGTCAAACATGTTCTCCATCCCATTTTTTAAATGCAGTTTCGACCTTACTTTTTCAAGGCCTTTCAATTAGCCACGAAAGACCTGGCAATCAAGATCGTTTCTTGTGTTCGTGAGACTTTGCTACATGAATTCTGGATAAGACCTTTTTAAAGCAATCATGTTTATGAAATCGGATAATTTCTTTAGTACATTTTGCTGTAGACTCTTCAATACAGATTTCTGCCAAATTTCTTTATCAGTGCAGAAAAATGGAAATGAAGAGGAAATTTTAACTAAGTTCCCTCGCTATTTCCCATTCGTTCTAGATTTTTCATGTAAGTTACCCTAGAAACTAAAGATATCTCTGATTGAACTATTCCTCCACATGGTTTTGTGTGAATTGAAGTACTGGGAAACCATGCAAGTAAAGGATTTCCTCAACTCTGATTGCATTTCCAATGCTTTTGGAAAGATATCAGGCCCCCAGGCTCGGAATGTCAGCAACTAGGAGATCATAGAAGATTCGGTAAGACTGTTTTCAAAAGTTTGCCATGAGCCCAAAAAATGACAGGTTCTTGGGCCCATAGTCTCAAACTGGAAACTTTGGAACACGTTGGTGAAACCCATGTATTCCATCAATTTTCCTGTAGAAATAATGGACAAGTTTGGTAACGGCAATCTTTTCCATGGTTTTGGGGTTCAGAGAGATCTCAGGTCCCCAATCTTACACTTCCAGAAAACATGGTATCCTTTTTAAACATCCGTAAACCCAATGTTTCCATGATTTTTAGGGTAGATATCATGAAAATGATTGGTTCCAGTAAGATCTTTCACAGCTGAAGCCCTCGTCAAGCATGCCTAAACACATACAGACTGAGAAAACAATAGGTTAATCTGGGTGGTACCATACACATATTTGCTTATTCTGATCTCGACAAGGCGAATTATTCTACAGTCTCGGAGGTTTCGACACCCAGAGGCAGAAGCTTCTTGGACCTCAGCTCATGCGCCACTTGCGCCACCGTGACTGGGATATCCCAATATCCCATCCCTGGCAGGTCTTGAAGT